GTGTGATGGGCAAGGATAACTTGCACAGTTTGGTTCTATCCTTCTACCATGTGGGTTGTGAGGACTGCACTCAGGCTTGTGGTAAGCACCTATACTCACTGAGCCATGTTCCTAGCCCAAGGTGTCAAATGTGTAATCCTCCTGTCCCTGCCTTTTCAGCATATCTTACCAATGTGGACCACAACACCTGGCACACATTTGCATTTAAATGTATATATATGGTTCATATTTGTATGTATCATTTTGTCATTCTTTTGGTTCAATATTTTGTTTTACTTTATTTCACCAATAAATTCTCACTCCCTTGATTCTTAGGCCCAATGGTTAAATGTGACAATACAGAGCATGGGAACTCCACATGTACTTACAATAAGCTGACTTTCAAGTTGGCAATATTGCTCGCGGTGGTAAAACCGGCGTCATTGAGGCTTTCCCACTTCAGGATTAAGTTATGCCAATCAGCTGCATTGTCCTTAATTTTCCTTGCACTGACAGATAAGACAGGTTTCCTGGGTGTTGCAATTCCAGGAGTCTTTGCTGAGAGGAACCAAAAGAAACATGACTATTAAGGAACACATGATCACAGCCATTCATAATAAAATGGTCTGAAATGTCACACAAACTGGATAAACCAATGTTCCAGAATCTAAGAGGCTGTTCACAGCTCATGGCTCCATAAACACTTGTCTACTTTTCTTTTTAAGACAGTGTCTCATCTGCAAAGTGGTGATAAAACAGCATCTACTCCATAGGGCTGTTAGAAGTGGATATACGAGTTTGAGGCAGACTGGTCTATGTACTGAGTTCCAGGCTGGCCAGGGCTACACAGTGAGACCCTGTCTCTAAATAAATAAATAAATAAATAGAAGTATATTAGTAATATACGCTGTGAGGGCCTGACATAAAACAACCTGTATCACAAGGCCTACTACTAGTACCCAAGTCTGCCTATCCCTTCTCCAATACGGTCTTTAATTCACTCTTTTGTGCCTCAATGCTGGCTCTGTACCATTCCAACTTGGGTCACACTAATTCTTGTGTGTCTTCACTCACCTAGTTAACTCAGTATTATTTAGGGCCCTGGTCTTTGTTTTAATGGTATTGGGACTGAACTAGGGTTATAGTCCCAGCCCATTTTACTGTATGAGACGGTATCACCAAGTTGCCCAGGCAGGCAGAAGCTATTTTATAGCTCAGACAGACTTTGAACTTTCTATCTTCCTGCCTCTGCCTCCCTAGTAGCTTGGATTGCAGCCTGTACAACCATACCTAGCCCATAGCTCATCTTTTAAATATACTGATTTTTTTTTCATTCATTCTTTACTTAAACAACTAACAAATATCAGTAGGCTACCTTCAATATGTCAAGTATGAAGAACGAAGTGACTGAATGAGACTAGGGCCTTTCCCATGGCACTCACCTTCCAAAAGAGAGTCAAACAACACCCACGGAAATGATCTTAGCCAGTTCAGATCGTAAGTACTATGCAAAAACTGGAACAGGAAGCCAGGTGTCATGTCCTCCAGAGAGTGAGGCAAGAGGATTACTAAGAGTCCAAGGCCAGACAACCACTGTGAGTTAAAAAGAGGCTAATGTGGGCTGTGTAATAGGACTCTGTCTTGTGTTAGCATGAATATGAGGTGTGAATTTATGAATATGAGGTGTGAAGCCAGGGAGAGGGAGTCAGCATGGGCCCTAATATGACCATGAACTTGGTGAGTATAACAGACAGGACAAACCAGCATTACCAGGCTAAAATGGAGAAAAAGAGGCAAATACGGAGGAGCTCATACAAGTAGAGCGGCACATGACAAACAGGACAAACTAAGCACAGTGAAGAGCGGGCAATGAATAAGCTTGGGGCAGAACAGTGACATAATGTCCATATCTTATATCCTACCCTCATTGCCAAAACAAGTAAAAATTGGTTAAAAATACTCCCCCTTGCTGGGCGGTGGTGGCGCACGCCTTTAATCCCAGCACTCGGGAGGCAGAGGCAAGCGGATCTCTGTGAGTTCGAGAACAGCCTGGTCTACAGAGCTAGTTCCAGGACAGGCTCCAAAGCCACAGAGAAACCCTGTCTCGAAAAACCAAAAAAATAAATAAGTAAATACTCCCCCATGAGATAAGAAAGTGGAAGGGGATGCTGGGTAAGAGGGTATCATTAGAGATGGGGGACAGAATCAAAAGAGGGCCAACCAAAATTAAGTATTAATATTAATTACTTATACTTAATTAATATTAAGTATTAAGTATGAAATGCCATAAAGAAACCTGCTACTTTGTAAGTTACTTAAAATGAATAAATAAATGAAAATTTAAATTCTCCTGTATAAGGACCAGATGGTAATGAGGACAGAAGGAACTATTTAAAATTGGACTGGAGGAGAGTAACAGAATTCTTGTCATTTTTTTTTTTTTACTTTAATCTTAAATGTTAAGGCCCCCTCCCATGAAAGAAAATCCTTAGGGTTTTAAGTGGAATATTCCATATGCTAAAGTCTTGTAATGGTGCTCTAAGTGTCAATGTGCACACAGGTAAAATGTCCACTTTTGAGACATGAAATGTGGTAACTTCTATTTGTATCTTGACCTCAAACTATCAGATTTTAAAGATTCGTTTGTGTGCTTCTGTTGGAGTGTCTGCCAAGGCCAGAAGGTGACTTATCTCCTGGAGCCAGCAGTGTAGGTGTTTGTGATATGCCTAATGTGGATGCTGGGGACCAAACTCCAAGACTCTAGAAAGGCAGGAAGTGCTCTTAACTGCTAAGCCACCTCTCCCACTTCAAATTTTATTTTTCGATAATTTAACCTCACCTTCATCAGGGGACTAGAATATTTTGAGACCCATTTTTTTCTTTTTTCTTTCTTTTTTTTTAGTTTTTCAAGACAGGGTTTCTCTGTAGCTTTGGAGCCTGTCCTGGCATTAGCTCTTGTAGACCAGGCTGGCCTCGAACTCACAGAGATCCACCTGCCTCTGCCTCCTGAGTGCTGGGATTAAAGGTGTGCGCCACCACCGCCTGGCAAGACCCATTTTTTTCTGATGCAAAAAAATTATAGCTAAAATTCTATTTGTTATTGACTTATATTAACGTATCTGTAAATTGCAATAAATATATCTACAATAGTTAAATGCAAAAATGAAACAAAAAAAGAAAGGTATTGCCCTGGTCAGTTTCGCTGTTAACTTGATATTACCTGGGGAGAGCCACACTGAAGAAGAGCTGTTTGTGGGGATATGTCTGTGTGATGAATGACAGAAAGGGCCTAGCTCTTGGTGCCACCCTCGAGAAGTGGTTCTGGGCTGTATAAGAAGACTATCTGAGGGCCTGAGGATGGCTTAGAAGTTAAGAGCACTTCCTGCTCTTCTGGAGGACCCAGCACTCACATGGTGTCTCACAATTCCAAGGGATATTATAGCCTCTCTGGCCTCTGTGAACACTGCACACATACAGTGCACTTAGATAAATGCAGGCAAACACTCATACAAATAAAATAATAAATGAAATCTTATAGAGACAAAGTAAGATAGCTGGCTGTGCGTGAGCCTGGGAGGGAGCTGGAGAACAAGCTGGTGAGCAGCCTTCCCTCACTATTCCTGCTTGGGTTCCTACCCATTTCCCTCAGTGATGGACTGTGTCCTGTTAGGGTAAACCAAATAAAATAATCCCTTTCCTTCCAAAGAGCTTTCTAGTAGGGGTACTTTACCACAGCAACGGGAGGCACATTTGAAGAGTTCCATCAAATACCTCGGTTACATTAGGAATCACCGCAGTAGACGTTTGTCATCTATACCTTGGCTGTCATCACATTCACCAGTGAATCTAGTTATCCGCTTAATTTTATATTCCCCGCTGGACTGAGTTCAACCAAACTAGTTCAGTCTCGTTTCCTCCCATATCTTGCACATAGTATATGCTGAATCAAACATGTTACATGGAGGAACTGCTCTTACTACCTGTATTTATCCCTAGGTGGTGGTTCCTAAGAGCGAGGATCACATCGGACGCAGTTTGCAGGCCCCACTTAGGAACTCAAAGCACAGCTCCGAGGTCTAGATACTCACAGCCAAGTAGGGAGCTATCAGTGATCGGTCACAGGCCAGGGCGGTACTGAAGTTACTCCATGAGACCACTGCCATACGCACCAATCGGCACACAGAGACAGCCTTTATTACAAGCTGCAAGCTCCACGGCCGGTGTTCCTGACTGCCGGAGTTCAAGCAAGGGTTTCTGGAGGGGCAGGCATGTTGGGCCAATGTGCTCCGGAATGCTCTGAGCGTCACACCTCTGACAAATACTTCACGTACATCGCCACACTCAGATCTCACACGGGAAAGAATAGGCTCCGGACAGCCCGCGAGGTTCATGCGCGCCCCGCAAGTCACACGGCGATCTCCCGACCTTCCCCCAGACCTGCAGCCTCACCACAATAGGGGAAGCACAGCCCTCGCACGCACCTTCCATGCGGTCCACAGGTAGATATCAACAAGGAGACCCGAGGCCCCGCCCTCGGACTGAGGAAGTGACGTCACTTCCGCTCCACGGGTCGGCCAACACTTGTGGCTCTGTCACTCTAGCTCTCCTCCGCGGAGTCGGAGCTGCTCTCGGAGGCCCAACCCGTTGCCCAGGCAACAGGCTCCCGGCAGCCCCTGCGGCCCAGAGTGCATCCCGCCTCCTCCGGGCTGGCGGGGTTGACGAGTCCTGAGGGGCTGCCGCCGGAGGTGAGTCCGGGAGCGCGCTGGCGGGTCCCCGATGCCGCCGTCGTCCCCGACGCGGGCCCCGCGCTGTTCCTCCTCCTGGCAGAGCCGCCCCTCCCTGTCTCAGCCGTCGGGGCTCCACAGTCGCGTCGCCGCCCCTCTGGCAGCCACCGCGCGCGGCACGTCTGTCACAGCCCGCGTCCGTGCCGGGCACCGGGCGTGGCGGCGTTCGCACACCGCCCGGGGCCGCGGCGGCGCCCCAGCTCCCCTTGCTCCTCCCCTCCTGCCCCACCCTGTATCCCTCTTGCGGCGGGCTCCAGGCTCCTCAGCCTGGAGATTGACGTTTCGTTCTGTTCTGTCCCTCCGACCCTCAGCAGGAAACCCTTCCGTTCGCCCACCAGCGCCAAGCAGCTGGCTTGGGCACCCACTAGGAGTTCAGTAAGTGCTGGTTAAATGCATAAGCGGTTGCCTCCCGGTTAATAAGGACTGTGTGGCCTCGGAGGCGGAATGGGCAGTGAGGGTTAAAGAATGGGATGACCCCGGGGTCAGACCCGAGGTCTGGTCACTGCACTTCCCTTTCTTATCAGTTTGCTGGAGCAAGTGTCAACTTCCTAGCTTTAATTTCGTCATCCGTAAAACGGAGGTGATAAGTTTTTATCTTGGGGTGGTGGAACGTTAAATGGGTCAGTGCATGCACAGTTAAGTACAGGGTCTGGCTGATCGATCTCAATAAAGGATAGTTTGACCTGTTGTCACCCACACGACTCTGCTGGCTTCGCAGCCTTTTTCCTCGAGTCCATTTAAGTCTCTGGCTTTCCAGTACTTTATCGTTTCCCTTCTCAACTTTGCTTCTTTTTCCTACCCTTTTGTGCTTTCTCTTTCTCACTGATATTCAGGGACTTTTCTGTTCCATTTGTTGGCAGAATGTGAAGGGTATTGTTTTGTCATTGACTGGAAAGATCATTTGCAGCCGAGATTTTATTTATTTTTTTATTTTTTTGGTTTTTTTTTCGAGACAGGGGTTCTCTGTGGCTTTGGAGCCTGTCCTGGAACTAGCTCTGTAGACCAGGCTGGTCTCTAACTCACAGAGATCCACCTGTCTCTGCCTCCCGAGTGCTGGTAGATTTTAGAAACTTTTGAAGAAGGGAGCTGCGGAAAAGCCGGGTCCTAGGTATGAAGCTGCTCTAGTCCCTTATCTCCAGAGTCTGTCTAAGCTGTAACCCTTTTTGTACCTTCTTGTATTCAGCTGTAATGCTGATATGCACTGGGACCGTTTTGTTTGCTTTTGTTACCTGACTGACAGCCAGTCACTACCCTCAGGAAGGGTGTAGCCTGGCTCTTGAGATTTCAAACCTGCGAATCCCATTTGATTTTCGGGGTGGACTTGGGAATCAGGGATGGAGAGGATGAAATCTGGTCATTTTTTTCCTAAGTTTAAAAACTTATTTTATGTATATGGGTGTTTTGCCTCCTTGTGTATTTGTGCACCCATGTGTGCAGTGCCTGCAGAGGTCAGGAGAGGGCATCAAATCCCCCAGAACTAAAGTGATCTGTCAGGTGGGTGCTGGGAATTGAACCCTGGTCCTGTGGAAGAGCAGCCCTTGCTCCGAAGGGTTGAGCTACCTCTCCAGCGCCAAGCAAGTTTGTTTTGATGTCTTTTTCATTGTCTTTTTAAATGTTTTTTGTTTGTTTGTTTTTGTTTTTTTCAAGACAGGGTTTCTCTGTAGCTTCGGAGCCTGTCCTGGAACTAGTTCTTGTAGATCAGGCTGGCCTTGAACTCACAGAGATCCACCTGCCTCTGCCTCTACTGGGATTAAAGGCGTGAGCCACCACCGCCCAGCCTTTTCAATGGTTTTTAATGGACTTGTTTTCAGGTTTTTCTGAGGAAGTTATTCTTTGGGTTGAGAAAGTAGCTTCTATATAATTTGAACCAAATGACTCCTAGAACTTAATAGGGAAAAAGGAAAGAAGCAGACAACAACTGTTGATTGAATTTGGAGAGATGAGGAATGGAATAGGAGATAGTTATACAAATAATAAAAATGGGCTTTGGGGTCAAGCCTAGAGAATTCTGCCAGTATTGACCCAGGAACTTGGGAGAGTCAGAGGACAGATAATAGGTGGTGTGTTTTTTCTGCTGTTGTTTTGTTTTATTTTCTGAGACGAGGTTTCTCTGTGTGACAGCCCTAGCTGACCTGGAACTAGCTCTATAGGCTGGCCAACCAGGCTGGCCTCAAAATCATAGAGATCCTACTGCCTCTGCTTCCCTACTGCTGGGACTAAAGGTGTGTACCTTTAGTTTCAGGAGTCGGGATAGGTCTTTCTTTTCTTTTTCTTTCTTTCTTTCTTTTTTTTAAATGAATTGTTGAGGCAGAAGCAAGTTTAGATTGCATGTTTGTTTCCCGTGCATGTACGCTTTGGATCTGGTCGTAATAGTTACAGTGAATCTTTGCTGTAGTCTTGGGGCAGCGTGGCATAGTTTTTTGTTTGTTTTGTTTTGGGGACAGGCTCTCGCTATAAAGCCCAGATTATCCACAGACTTGCCCTCAGCACAGGGTTTTTGAGAGAGAGATTAATACAACAAAGATGAGTACAGTGTTGATTGTACTGTACTCTAGTAGTTGTTTGTGGGTTTGTTTTAGTTCATTGGTTGGGGGTGGAGGTTGGCAGAATCTGGCTGTGTAAACTTTGATTGGTTTGTGAACTGTCAGTGTAGACCAAGCTGGCCTTGAATTTATGGCAATCATCCTTCCTCTACCTCCCATGTCCTGGGAATTCAAGCTCATTTAGGGGCCAGCATGCTGCCTCATGGGGGAAGAGCACTTGCCTTGCAAACCTGGTAACTTGAGTTCAATTCCTGGAACCCATGTAAAGGCAGACAAAGAACTGACTCCACAGTGTTGTCCTCTGGATTTCACTTGAGAAACCATGGTACAGATACACCTACATATGTGCATTTCTCTCTCTCTCTCTCTCTCTCTCTCACACTACACACACACACACACACACACGCACACACACACACACTGATAACAAATAAATAAGAATGTAAAGTTTGCAACTGGAGCAGAAAATGTAGATGGAGATGAAGTTAGATATGGAGCTTTCTTCAGATGTCTGCTTTCAACGCTTGGGTTGGGTTTAACCTGTGAACAGTTGGCTAGCCAGCAGGGACAGAAGCAGGGAAACAACAGCATTTCATTTCTTTTCTTCTTTTTTTTTTTTTTTTTTTTTTTTTCGAGTCAGGGTTTCTCTGTGGTTTTGGAGCCTGTCCTGGAACTAGCTCTTGTAGACCAAGCTGGTCTCGAACTCACAGAGATCCGCCTGCCTCTGCCTCCCGAGTGCTGGGATTAAAGGCGTGTGCCACCACCGCCCGGCCTCAGCATTTCATTTCTAAGACAAATTATTCCCCGATCCTTTGCATTCCACCATAAAATCTTTGTTTGTTTATTTTCAAGACAAGTTTCTATGTATAGTCCTGGTGGTCCTGGAACTCATTCTGTAGACCAGGCTGGCCTCGAACTCACAAAGATCCTCCTGCCTCTGTCTCCTGAGTGCTGGGATTAAAGGTATTAATCTTAATACATCATCTACTGGCCATGGTAATGTATGATTGTACTTCCAGCAGACATGAAGTTAAACTAGATGATCCCTGGGAGTTCTAGGCCAGCCAAAGCTATGGTGTGAGACTGTATATCAAAATAAATGAATAACTTAAAAGCCACACTAAAGATGGATTGTAAGAGCCATTTGTGATTACACTAAATGGTCTTAGCAGATTGTATTTACAAACTTATACACACACGTATATGTAACAATTATAATTAAAGAGTAAAGAAGCCCAGGAGGTGGTGGCTCACATCTTTAATCCTAACACTCAGAAGGCAGAGGCAGGCAGATCTCTGTAAATTCTGACCAGTCTAATCTACAGAGCAAGTTCCAGGATTGCCAGAATGGCACAGAGAAACCCTCAAGAAAAGAAAGCAAGCCTGGCAATGGTGGCGCACGCCTTTAATCCCAGCATTCGGGAGGCAGAGGCAGGCGGATCTCTGTGAGTTCGAGACCAGCCTGGTCTACAAGAGCTAGTTCCAGGACAGGCTCCAAAACCACAGAGAAACCCTGACTCAAAAAAACCAAAAAAAAAAAAAAAAAAAAAAAAAGAAAAAAAAGAAAAGAAAGCAAAACCAAAACAAAACAAAATCCCAAAAACCACACAACCAACAAAGAATAAGACGCTATGGGGGGGGGGTGGCTGGAGAGATGGCTCAGAGGTTGAGAGCGTTGCCTGCTCTTCCGGAGGTCCTGGGTTCAATTCCCAGCAACCACATGGTGACTCACAACCATCTGTGGAGGGGTCTGGTGCCCTCTTCTGACCTGCAGACATACACACAGACAGAATATTGTATACATAATAAATAAATATTTAAAAAAATTAAGGTCAATGTAAAACACTGTCACTTAAAAAAAAAAAAAAAAGAAGCTATGGGGGCAAAAAAGCTGGGCATGGATGGAGGTCCCTGCCCGTAATCTCAGCACTTGGAAGAAGTGTGAGGACCATGGGCTACTGAGACAAAACAAAACAAAACAAAATAAAACAACAACAAAAATTGTACAGGAATACTAATTATTACTTTGTATTGAGTTTAGAGAAGGTCCTTGAGACATAAATGCTATCAGAGCCTCTAGTGACAGGTGACAATTACACTGCTGAGTGCATAATCCTGTTCTGGGTTACACCTGGCTCTGGGTTTGGGAAATGCTCATTAAAATGATGGTTGGATATAGCCCACCTTTCATGTTTATGAAATTGATGGGGGATGGGAAGAAAAATTATAACTTTCTTTTTTTTAAATATTTATTCATTTATTATGTATACAATATTCTGTCTGTGTGTATGCCTGCAGGCCAGAAGAGGGCACCAGACCTCGTTACAGATGGTTGTGAGCCACCATGTGGTTGTTGGGAATTGAACTCAGGACCTTTGGAAGAGCAGGCAATGCTCTTAACTGCTGAGCCATCTCTCCAGCCCCTATAACTTTCTTTTTAAAAAAAGTTTTACTTGATGTATGTATTTGTTTTGTGCATTCCCCCAGTATGTGGGTGCCTATGGAGCTAGGAGAGGGTGTTAGATCCCCTGGAGCTAGAGTTACAAGAAGTTGTGAGCCATCCAAAGTGGGTATTTGTACTCAGGTCCTCTGGAAGAGCAGCAAGCACTCTTAACCACTGATCTGTCTCTCTAGCCCGTAACTTTTAACTTCACTTTTGTGTTTTAAACTGAAAAACTCATAGCCAAGGAAGCATTGCTTATATATTTTTATGCATTATATGTGTCTGCCTATCCGTATGTGTACCATATACATGCAATGCCTGAAGAGGCCAAAGAGGGCATCAGATTCCTTAGTACTGGAGTGCTGCCAAGTTGGTGGATAGGTGCTAAG